GCTCCTCCTCTCCATCGACTCCAGCCCGCCGCTGCGGAGACGCGCACCGACCGCACTCGCTCTCTCTCCGGCCCGAGCCGCTGCAACTCCTCTGCGCCTTCCTCCTCCAAACAAGATCGCCCGCAGCCCTCCCTTGTGGCCCTGTCGATCCAGTGGATAAGGAGACCCCTCACCTTGCCGTGAGAGAGATGGAGATGGAAGGAGAAAGTGGTTCTCCCTGCATTGCCGCAAGAAAGGCGCGCCGCGGAGATTGCGCCCCTCCCCTCCTCGCTCCGGCAGGCGGCAGCGCATGCCCGGCGAGACGGGCTGACAGTGGCGCAGTCAGCGATGCGGTTCACGGCGGGGGCCTCGTCGACGCGGTCGTGGCAGCCCATGCCGACGGCGGACACCACGGACCTGCGCTTCTGGCTGCGCTGGCGGGTGGCCGTGTGCACGCTCTGGGTGCTCTGCTGCGTCGCCGCCGCGGCCTACCTCATCTGGCGCCACGAGGGGCCGCGCGCGCACCGCCGCATCGGAGCCGCCAAGCAGGACGCGGCCGCGCAAGGGCGGCGACGGCCGGACGAGCTGCTGTACGACGACGAGGCGTGGCGGCCCTGCCTCCGGGACATCCACCCGGCCTGGCTGCTCGTCTACAGGCTCGTCTCCTTCGTCCTCTTCAGCCTCCTCATCGTCATCTCCGACGGCGGCAACATCTTCCTCTCCACATGCCTCATCGTCGACCACCCTGCTGGCAGCCTGGCACATTCTTCTGGGCCTCTTCCCCGGCGCTCGAGGTACAGCAGTGGCGGCACCGCTCCTCCTCACAGGTATGGCCGCATCTGCCTGTGCTCGGCAGAAGGAGGAGGCCGTGGTCATGGCGACATGCGGCACCCATTTGTCGAGGCGGAGGTGCAAGCGCGCAGGGAAGAGAAGAAGGCCTGAGGGCGGCAGCGCTCCGGCGACGGTCGTGGTCGAGTGGAACGGCGTGTGGGGGGTCGTGCGGCTTGCCGTTGCCTCACCCATGCGCCAGGCAAGCAAGCCCGTGGGAGAGTTTTTCTGAACGATAGCCCTCAGCTCGCCCCGACAAACTTTTCCGGTCAGCTTCACTCCCCTCTTTGCTTAGAATTGTTTTATTGCCATTCATGTTCTAAATTGAATTCTGATGAGGTTTCTGTTTGTTAGATTAAATTCTAGCCAAGTCTAAACTGTAGCCAGAGGAAGGCAGGATTCTACTTGTTTGGTATAAAAAAGGGTTTTATACTTGTTTGATTAGATTCTAAGTTAGATTTTGGGTGGGCTTTAGATAAAGTCTGTTAGTTGTGAAAAGATGTTTGCTTGTGCTTCTATTGTTTGCACTCCGTTTTTCATAGAAGAAATAAAACATCTACTACAAGTCTGAACAATGATCTGCTGCAGATGTTCTGATCAGGGTGGAGGAGCATATAGGTGAGGTGAGCAGGAGTGATCTTGGGCATACAAGTGCAGACCTATTACAGTTCGATGCCCTGTCGCTGAATACCACACCTCCTACACTTCAATCATCTGATAGGTATATCATTTTTTGTTCTTCCTTGATTAGCCAAGATTGCAGTTTTGGATGTTTACACAGTTGCCTTCGTTGTTTCCTAGATTTTGTTGGATGCATTTGACCATCAAGAATCAGTATTGGCAGCAAAGGTAAGAGGCAAGAGTAAGAACATCTCCTCTACTGTACCTATTTGGTGGCTTACAGTGGTTTGTTCTCTGAATTTGTTTTGCAAGTCAGTACCAGAGGTTGCCGCGTGATTGCGCATGACATGTGGCAGTATCTATCATTCATTTATTGCTGCTTACAGAACCATCTTGTATGTTGCGTTGCTGCTATGGTAGCTGCTGTTTGTTTTCTCATTCAGTGACAAACTACACACAATGTTCAGACCAGCTAAATATGAATCTTTTTATTCAGTTATTGCAAATCAGTTCAGCAAGATCTTGTGCCTACGGGTTTATCCGGAGGTTTCCGACTTCATGCGTGTTGAGACTTGATTCAGCCTTATTTCTGTATCCAAAAGGTGCCTTCTGTGTTAATACTCTTCACCGTGCAGCATTTTTCTGACTTGATCATCCGATTTATTCAGCAAAACATGCCCGGTTCCGCTTGGGCTATCTAAAACCACCCCTCTGGTCTGAAACACATGTATATGTTCAAAGTGACACGGAGCTGATTGATGATAACAACTATATCTGGACATACACATCTATGGAATTTCGAATGTTGCAGGTCAGTTGAATACATATTCCTAGCTGTCTTTCTTGTCTGTAATAAATATAAAATTTAGATGTTCGAAAGTAACATGAGGCGTGATATTCCAGGAAAATGTGATGCAGTCTTTTAAGCTACCACACTCAGTTCTATGTATTGGTGGAGTGGTAAAGATTGAGCTTCTTGGGAGGGTCCACAAGGACACGTTTGATGGTCTGTACTACATATTGTGAGCTTTTGAGCACTTGTAGAAACACATCTTTGCATCGTTTCAGCGAGAAAGTTGGTGGTCAATATAAGCTACTGTAATGGATCCTTTGTTATTGAACTTTTCTTTACATGCGGCCTTCTTTAGTGGTCTGTTCACCATGTCTTCCTGCTTATAAGCTGGCAGCAGAACAATTTATCGTGCTTAGCTTGCAAGGTGATGATGGCAACCGTGTGAATGACTTCTTATGACTCAGCAGCAAGACGATCAGCCACGACCTAGAGGTTGATAAATTTTGTCAAGGAACGTATAGCCCTTCGATTAGAAGGGGCCCGGGATGCGGAGGTGATTGACATACTGAAGATGCATAGTGGATAGACTAATGTAAGTAGTCTCTAACTTGATTATAAGTTTCTTGGTTATTGCAGTGTAAGCATGTTCGAAATTTTATTATAGATGTATGATACAAGCTGGAAATTCTTTAGTGCTTGGTCGATCCACCCTTATATTTTTGAAACAACAATTTATCTGGCTCAAAGTATTTTGGCTCAGCAATTTCATGTATTAGATATATTTTTGTGCTTAGATTTTTTTTGACAATTCTAGAATTTGTAGCCTTGAGCTCAGATGAAATTTGTTCTATAGTCAACTTACGTTCATGGATGTAGCTGATAGGTCAATCAATTTTTAAACTGGTATTATTTTCGCAAGTTTAGGTTTGCACTTGGCTTTATCAGAATCAGAATATGCAGAACATGTGTTGGAGAAGTGCCTATTTAGAAGCTTCAGTGCTTTAACCATTTGTTTTTATGAAATAATATTCAGCCAGTTTAAAATTATTTTCATTATATATCCTGCAGATTAGTGGCTTATAGAAAACAAATGTCCCGAAAGTGTATAATTTCAATGTGTATGCCTCTCTCTGAATTGGCACGAGAAGATCGTTCTACATTGGAATCCAATCATCCATATAACTTTGAGAAGGTCAGCTTTGGTCCTTATTTGATTGTTCATTTCTTATTTTCCTCAGAATGGTATATGATATTTACTGTTTATCTCTGAAATAGAAATAATATGCTCGCAGGTGACTGTATGTCGTGTCTCTCTCTGACCGCCCCTCCTCCCATTGACTTCGCATCCTGGTCACCACCGTATCTCCTGCTGGCTCGCCCCTCGCCATCGTCTGGAGGGTTGTGTGTGCCGTTCTACATTGGAATCCATATAACTTTGTAAAGGTCAGCTTTGGTCCTTATTTGATTCTTCATTTTTTTTTCCTTAGAATGCCATATGATATTTACTAACGAGAAATCATATGCTTGCAGGTCACCACCATGCCGCCTCTCTCTCTGACCGCACCTCCCATCGTCTTGGTTTGCTGGTTGCCGTTATGTCTCCCTTTGGTTCGCCCATCACCATCGCTCGAGGTGTTGTGTAGGCCGCCGCTCATGCCTCTACTCTGCAGTGACCAGTGAGGACCATGCCACTACTCATGTCTTATTTTACATTTACCAGGACCAGCAAGTCAAAGTTGAAAATCGACATCATTTGAACCTACTCCACGGAATTAGGGACTGAATTAGCAACATACCCTCTTATGGTGGTTAACAAAAATCTTGGCAGATTATTTCTATTCAAACCTGAACCTTTTTTAGTTGTTTGCTGCCAATTTGTTATCATTCCTTTTTTAGTTCTGCATGGTCTCTGCTCATGCTTTTTAGTTGCTGCTGCAGATTTTCATTTTGTTGAATGTGGGAGAATACCGGAAGGGATACATTTACGTTCTCATATTATTAGAATATATACTGCTCCATATCTTTTTGGATATGTACTTTTGTTAGCTATGTGAGCTATGGCTGTCCTGTTATATGTACTTCTTGTTGGGCAGTAGCACTACTCATCTGCACGCACACTGTTTATTTAGATACAAGACAGAATGGTTGTAGTCTTGGTTGATACCTGATCAAACTCACCTGTTTAGCTTTACAAAAAATATTCAGTTCCTTACCAATTATCATTTGTTGTCAATATAAAAAATGTTTGTTGGTAAGAGAAAAATCTTCCAACTGATGTTTGGGGAGTGATGTGCATGGTCTTTTACTTTCATATAGCAAGGTTCTACTTTTACTTACATTTGTCTTGCTATGTAACACCAGATGCTTAAAGCGCATTTTTTTATAGCTAAAGAGTGGTGAGGATTCATCACCCCACTTCACTCAAGTTGCTTCAGCATCTGCCATCATCTTTTGTTGTTTATACTTTTGTAGAAATATATAGGTTTCTCAACAAAAAACTGATGGATTCAAAAGATACATCAAAGATTTCAACTAGACCCTTATTTGTTATTTAGTTTTGTGTTTAACAACTTGACTACCTATCATCAATCTCATGCGACAACTAAATATGAACTTAATTACCTCTAGATATGCGAATGTAATGTTTATATCTTATCTATGTGTATAAATGCACAATTAGTTTCTCAGGTGTACATTACTTTACCTTATCGACCTTCAAAAAGGTTATTCATACCATGTCCTAAACTTGCACCCATTCTTCATGATCCTATAATGGTTTAGATTGTTGTGGCTTTCAAGCAACTATATATTTGTATCATTCTTTCTATCTATTATTTGCATCCATATTCTAGAGTCATCTAATAAGCTTCTTCTGTTATTTATTCAGCTTCAATTAGTTGTGTTTCTGAGAGGGAAAAAATCTTATGTTGCTTTTCTATCCATCGCATCGAGGCCCGAGAATGCCCCTCTCCGGCTCTAAGCTCTGTTCGCCGATGGTGAGTCGCAGCTGGGAATCCTCCTCTCTGCTCCTTGCCCCCCGCCAAGAGCCTCGATTGCATCTGGACCCCGAGCTCTCCGTGCTCGCATCGCCTCTGTGTGAATCGTCGCATCGTCAGGGGGAGAGGAAGCTGGCACTGCTTATCCCCAAGGAGTGTGCCATCGACGGTAGGAGGCCAGGCGGGGCGACGGGAGGAGTCCAAGCAAATTGACAGGAGGAGGCCAGGCAGAGCACGTCATCGCCACCGGCTGGCGCATCGATGGGACTCCGACATGCTTAGGGGGCTCGACCAAGTCGGAGGCCAGGCGGTGTGCGTGGTCGTGGAGCGCCAGCCGCAGGCGCTTGATATGGTTCTCCCCTTGTCACGCCTCCTTTCGCTGCAGGTGCTTGCTGATAGCTCCTCCTTCTCCTCCATTGTCGGGAGGGGCATGGCTGCAGTTCTGCAGTTCTACTATAGGTCCTCTCTCTCTCTCTCTCTCTCTCTCACCACTGATCCACCCATCATCGTGGATTTGCAGGAGACAACCTGTTGTGTTGGGCTCGGACGGTGCTGGCCGTTAGCTTGCCTTGCAAGAGGATGCTCCCCTGCTCTGAGTCCTAGGTACACCAATGATCAAAAGAACACCTGAATGTGGATACTGTTGTTTTGAAGCAAATTTCACCATTAAATTTGACATTACTATCATTTTTAATCAGCAAGGC